TGTTGTTGTTGTTACTGTTGTTGTTGGTTGTTGTTGCTGTTGTTGTTGTTGTTGTTGTTGTTGTTGTTGTTGTTGTTGTTGTTTGTTGTTGTTGTTGTTGTTGTTGTTGTTGTTGTTGTTGTTGTTGTTGTTGTTGTTGTTGTTGTTGTTGTTGTTTGTTGTTTGCCGTTGTTTGTTGTTGTGTGTTGTTGTTCCCCACCCGACAGGAAGGGGTTGTTAGATTTTATGTTGGAATCCACGTTTGCGATGCTTCTACACCACGCCCCCACCCAGGATCCGGCTAGAGCAGCTTGCCAGTGGATCCCGCCGTGAGTATCCTGCCAGAGCTGCTCGCCAGTGGATCTCGCCCAGTATCCCGCCAGAGCTTCTCGCCAGTCAATCCCGCCGAGTGGCGGGATCCCGCCAGAGCGGCTCGCCAGTGGATATCGCCGAGTATCCTGCCAGAGCGGCTCGCCAGTGGATCCCGCCGAGTATCCCGCCAGAGCAGCTGGCCAGTGGATCCCGCCGAGTATCCCGCCAGAGCTGCTCGCCAGTGGATCCCGCTGAGTATCCCACCAGAGCAGCCCGCCAGTGAATCCCGCCGAGTATCCCGCTGAGTATCCCAGAGGAGCTGGCGAGTGGATCCCGCCAAGTATCCCGCCAGAGTAGCTCGCCAGTGGATCTCGCCGAGTGTCCCGCTGAGCCCAGAGTGGCTCGCCAGTGGATCCCGCCGAGTATCCCGCCAGAGTAGCTTGATAGTGGATCCCGCCGAGCATCCTGCTGAGTATCCTTTGCCGGATCCTGCCGAGTATCCGGCCAGTATCGAGCCGGAGCGGCTCGCAAGTACTCGCCAGTGGATCCCGCCAAAATCCCGCCAGAGTTCGCCAGTCTGGTTTGGCGCGCAGTTGGGTTCATGTTGGTGCCTTCGTGTTTTGAGTGTACCCTGAGGCTCGGAAAGGGCGATGCTTTTGTGTTGCTTTGGGTTGTGAATAAGCAACTTCGTTTAATCCCCCGAAGGGGCTTGGCTGTTTTCACGGAACCGATGTTTGAGTTCTCGAGATCGGCTCGCAGACAAGTGGAGTTTGACACACCGACAGGTGGATAAGGCTCTCAATGCAAAGCTTGTGAGCAGTCATAGGCCCCAAGCCACTCGAAAACCATGCTTGAATTCACAACTGTGTCCATGTGGAGGGTGGGGATTGCTCGAAGCGAAGTAATTTTTTGTTGTTTGTTGTTATTTTTGTTTTGGTGGTTGGTGGTGGTTGGTGGTGGTTGTTGGTGGTTGTTGGTGGTTGTTGGTGGTCGTTGTTGTTGTTGTTGTTGTTGTTGTTGTTGTTGTTGTTGTTGTTGTTGTTGTTGTTGTTGTTGTTGTTGTTGTTGTTGTTGTTGTTGTTGTTGTTGTTGTTGTTGTTGTTGTTGTTGTTGTTGTTGTTGTTGTTGTTGTTGTTGTTGTTGTTGTTGTTGTTGTTGTTGTTGTTGTTTGTTGCTGTTGTTGTTGTTGTTGTTGTTGTTGTTGTTGTTGTTGTTGTTGTTGTTGTTGTTGTTGTTGTTGCTGTTGCTGTTGTTGTTGTTGTTGTTGTTGCTGTTGCTGTTGCTGTTGCTGTTGCTGTTGTTGTTGCTGTTGCTGTTGCTGTTGTTGTTGTTGTTGTTGTTGTTGTTGTGGTTGTGGTTGTGGTTGTTGTTGTTGTTGTTGTGGTGGTGGTGGTGGTTGTTGTGTGTTGGTGGTGGTGGTGGTGGTGGTGGTGGTGGTGGTGGTGGTGGTGGTGGTGGTGGTGGTGGTGGTGGTGGTGGTGGTGGTGGTGGTGGTGGTGGTGGTGGTGGTGGTGGCTTGATTTGCTTCTGCCAAAAGGCTGCCTCTTTCCAAGAGGCTCAGGGAGCGATACCAAAAACAAGAGCCATTGGCGCCATGTCCAGCGCCACAAGCCCCAACTGTTCACTCCTGGTTTTCTGCTCACTGTCAAGGGACCGTCTAAACATGCCGTTCAATCAATGACCACTTTTGTCACATTTCCCATTTTTGTTTAGACATCATGGTTTAACAGTTAGCATGTCCCATTTTTGTTCAAACATCATGGTTTAACAGTTAACATGCCCCATGTTTGTTTACACATCTTAATCTTCCACCAGTTTCACCGTGCAGCGACATTCCCTCAGTTGTTCAGTGGCACCCTTTTCCCCTGTTTTGGTGGCTGCCCTACTAAAAATGAACTTCCCCAAAAAGGGTTCCCAGCTCTCACATCCCACTTGGCGGTCAGGCGGACCTTGGGCTCCATCAGCGCCTCCCCCGCGGAGAGCTTGTCCATCGCCGAGAGCTTGGTGCAGGCGGGGGGGGGGTCGACCGGCGCGGCGGATCGAACGAGGCGCACGGATCCAAACCGGGTGGCGCAAACAAACGACGTCCGAGCCATGTCCAGCATGCAGCATGACTGCTTTTTGTTGTCTTCTTCGGGTGGCAACAAAACTGTCCAGGGGTTAGTCTTGAAAAGAGATGGACATGGATTGTGCCTAACTCAAGCTCAACACTGACTGAAGTGGACACTGATTGTTTTTCAACGCGCGTGTTTGTTCTGGCCCAACTAACGTGACATGTCTGACCAACTGCAAATAATAAAAGAGAAGCAGGTGTCCAAGCAATTTGGAAAGTTAATAAGTCAACTACGGCAATCTTGCACTTGGTGGTTCCTGGTCATATAATTTTGCAATACGAGAGATATGACGGATTTTAACCTCGGAAAATCCAGAGGACCACACTAATCCGAGGATGTCTTTCAAAATGAGATTTTCCTCACTGAAGGGCAACTAACCCCTGATCAGTACGGATGAACACAAAGTTAACACTATCCTACTAACCGCTTGACTGTTAGCAAGGAATCAACGAAGCACTATACCCAAATGGATGTTACCGACTCAGACGTCTCTTTGAGGCTCGGCATCCTCTGGGTTTTGAAGGGAAACCAAAAGGAGACCAACACTTCCGGGCTCTCCCTGGGTTGCTCTTGCGTTTGACCTTTGCGCTGTTCTCAGAAGGCGAATCGACCGGATCTCACCTTTGAGTTTCCCGATTTTCCTTGGCTTCCCAAAATCAACATTCCTATTTTGAGTTCCTTTGACCTGAGCTTTTCCAGCTCAACATGGCAAGGGTTTTTTGGGCACATTCCCGCTGTGAAGGGAGGGTATAACCTGCAGGGATTATGTCCCAGGTCGATCTGGAAGCCAAGCCATTTGTAGAGAGACCCTTTCGGAAGCGGCCAAGCTGAAACCGGTGCCACTTCCCTAAAAGAACTCCCGGTGGCTGCGCCATCCAAACCCCGCGACATCCAACACGTTCGGTCTAAGTAAGTTCTTCCCCGAAGAACTCAGAACACATGAGCGAGTCTGGTTTGGGAAACTTCGGAAGCTTCGTCAAATCCCAGCCATCCCCCAAGGGTTTTAGCTTTTTAGGGTTTAGTGGTAGTTGCTCACTTAAACCACTACAAGTTATTTACTTTAGGAACAGCCTAGGAAGCAAACGGTGAGTCCGCCCAAAGTTTCTCGATGAAACACAGACTATGGACCCAACCTCTGGGTGTTTTTTTAGCTCGCACACCAAGTTTGTAAAGGGGCCCAAGGCGGAAGCCAACACACATCCTGCTAAACTTGCTGGTGTAGGCATGGAATGAGGGAACGAAGCGGAAGGGGATCCCCTCAAAGGAAACCACCAGAAGCAGGGTTTCAGAGGGGGGCTGCTAGGGATACCACCCATCGATTTGTTCCATCGCAGGTCCATTAGTCTCGGCTTTCATTGATGGTGCCGACCCCGTTGAAAGGGCCCAAGGACTTCTGCAGATGAAGATTCCCTAACTCAACTTGATTTGAGTCCGCCACATGCTGAACTAGCCCCCCTAAATTTCTGTTTTCTTTGTTAAAAGGGGGAGGTGTTTTTGTTTCATCTCGACTTTAGACTCCCGCTTTGGCACCCATAGTTTTTCGAAGGTTTTTTTTTGATTTCCGCAGGGCAGACTTCAACTCAACCAAGAGGTTCCCCTTTTTTTACCTTGTACTCAAATTCCGGAACCCGAGTGGGTAAGGCATGAACACATGATCGCGGCTTGAGACTCATGGATTCCTGGCTCACGATGTTCGTTTGTCGGTTAGAAACCCGAGTTCCGGTTCGGACTTGAGGCACTTTTGGGAGTTGGACCATTTGGGTCGCAAGCAGAAAGTTCAGACTTGTTCTGGCCAATCCACCAAAGTGAGGCCTGGTGTGAGTAGTTTGAGGCTCGGTACCCTTTTCAGGTTGGTTTTAAAGGAACAACCCAAACAGCGCCACCCATTTTGAGCCGTCCAAACTCCTATAGGAAAACCAAAAGAGAACAATCAATTTTGAGCTTTTCAAATTCCTATAGGAAAAAAGTAAAAGAGAACCAGGCATTCTCAGATTGTGAGGGGTCCGAATTCCTATCGCGCCATTGGGATTTCGGGCAGGAGATGTTTGCGTCGCCCTCGGAGAGCTTCGGTCTGCAGCTCGAGGAGAAGCTGGTGAAGTATGCCAAGGGCAGGAGCGGCCAACCGCTGCAACTGGCTGTGTTCGGCACTCCGTAAGGTCCATTTACTCCTTGGGATTGTGGTGGGTATGGCCCAAATTAAAGAGCTGGGGTTACGCGGGTTTTAGTCTTTGGTTCCATTTACCAAGGTGCCATTTTGGTACCACTTGTTTGAGCCACAGCCTGGTTTCTCAACAGGGATTTGTTGTTTTTCCCTTTCACCAGTCACCAATCTCAAACGTTTCCCAACGCCAGACCACGGTGCAAGGGCCCTTTGCTGAAAAGCGAAAGGAGCCCAAGGCAAACCTAACGAAAAGGAAGCCACAAGAGAAACCGAACATGTGTCCCAGAAGCCATAGAGAGCACCAAAACTTGATTCCCCCAGAGGATGCTAATAGGAGTGGACGGAATCGACACAGCCGTTAGCATTGGGAATGGACCCCTGGATGGCGTTGTTCAAGAAGCGACAAACAACAAACCAAAGGAAACCCAGCAAAGAAAGAACATAAGGAAACATAAGGAGCATAAAATTCAGATTCAAGAAAGAACATAAGGAAGCGTAGGCCCAATTTAAAGGGAAACCACCAAACCCAAGGTGAAATAAGGTAGACACAATTTGGAGAGCTTATTCTGAAGAACACGGACACCCAGTTTATAGAGACATCCCATTCTATTTGTATGTGGTATATTTTCAAACCATGGCGCTGGCCTCAAAGGGGGTGTCCCTTTTTCTACCTTTCCGGGTTAAATGAACAAGTCAGAACACCAAGAGAAGAACATGGAGTGGTATGCATACCAGCCTCAAGAAAACCGACAACCCCAAGTAAATGCCGTGGATGAACAGAATCCATTTCGCACCAGTTGGTAGGTGGTTTGTCCCGTTATTTATGGGGTTTCATCCATCCCAACTGATGCAGGGTTTCGTCCATTCACAGTATCTTATCTTTAACCAAAGGTGAGACACGTCACCACCTTTCTGGGGTTCCTCGTTTCCAGGGTCGCGTTTTTATGGGAAGCTTGGCACCAAGGAATGCCAATCTTGGAGAACAGCAGAATCAACACTCCAAAAAAAGACTAACCCCCAACAAAGCCCAACTACTCTCAGGACCAATAAATCTTATAAACGAGGACATTCCAGAGGAACATCGTCAGAATCCTCTGCTTGTTGGTTGCTGTTTGGCTAGTCTTCTTGGGTGTTCGGCCAAGGCCAAGTTATTGGCTGGTATCTGGGGATAGAACCTTTTTGTTACAAATCTGCGCTTGGGCGACTTGCAAGTAGGTTTATGCTCACTTTGGAGGACCCTAGTCAGCGGATCCCCCAACAGGTGTTTTTATTGTTACTAAGGGGGCGGCCTTTGATCAGCGGTCTGGATGAATGAACATTACACACTGGCTTACTAATCACTTGCTAACTTCCTACAGTTGTCAAGGGCCCCCCCTACATATGGGGGGCCAATTCCCCACCCTGTAAGGGCCCTTCCTTTGGGGGTGGGGGTGTCCCCTATTCTTGTTGGTTGTCGGACCCTGATAAACCATCCATCTTACTGTTGGGTATCCTTTCGGACCATCCCTTTAAGAAGGCCTCGGCGCCTAATTGCATGTTTGATTTTCTTCCGCGGATTCGTGCCAAGAACTTTCCGAAGATCAGAGGAGGAAAGCCCAAGAACAAAGTCCAAGGGCACAGCTTTAATGAGGAACAGCTTGAGCAGTTCAGAAGCTTTCGGAATGCATCCCAAACTCGATATGTCAAGTTTCGACGCTCGACGCTCACATTTTGACTATGGAGTCTCAGGTACTGTCCCTTGGCCATCTCTCTGAGAAGCTTTAAGGTTTCACTTCGAACATGACCTGCGAACGCGAAAGGTGTTGTGGTGTCCTTTAAGGGAATCCTCTTGCAGTGCTTTCCCAGAATACCTCTCGCCTGCAAGTCTTTGGGGGTCCCGGCGTTCATGGAACCAGGAAGCTGCGCGAGTCTGACTCCCCGCTGTTCGCGCTAAACGGCCTCCTGGCGGAAAAGAAGCGGCGAGGCCGGGGGAGGGGGGGCGGCCGGGGGGGGGTTGGATGTCTGGAAAAGGCGGCAGAAGCCAAGAACGTGGTGGCGGAAAATTATCCATTTCTAGACAACCCCGATTTAGAGGCTGATTTTGGGGACGTCACATGGAGCCCTTACTTCCTGAGCTTCTGGAAAGACACTGTTTGGGCTTGGACCATTTTAGTGAGAAGCCAAAAGGTTCGGAGCTTGGCCAGTCCGCTCAGGAGGCGAGAATAGGTGGTAGTGTCACTTTTTGTGGTACCAAGGGAGCCTCGTTCAAGTGGGAAAGTAGTAACTAGCCTTGGGCATTGCCCATGTTTGTTTTTCTCCAAAGGCAAACTGTGCTCTTGCCTGGTCAAGGTGTGGATGGGTCGTCCAGGAGACCTTTGTCATGTTGCAAACAGCAAAAGGCCTTGTGAGAGACCAGCCTTGTACATGGCTGGTGGGGTATGTCCATGTGGGGTCAACTGCACAAGTTATAGCAAGCTCACCGGAAATTCACCGGACCCATGACGAAGGTCCCTTGCAGATTCCCGATTTCTGCTCAGATGCCTTAAGCACCCCCATGTTGCACGCCGCCCTTTTTCCCTGCGGGGCATGCCCCACACACCTCAAATGGGCCGCGGTGATGTTTAAATCTACCGCGGTCCTTTCCACCACTCTCCACGTAGAGCAGCCCCTGTCCGTGTCACCCGTGCGCGCCGCACTTTGTTTGGACTATGTGAGCCTTCCGCGTGGCCTCGAGGATTCCCCGTTCTGCCTTGTTCTTTCAATGATAAGACGGCGCAAGAATAATTCAGAGATGTACCCTACTGTTGCCCGGCTAGTTATTTGCCCTTTGTCGAAGCACATGTGTAGTCGTAATGGTAATGGAAGTTGAAAGTGCTCCAGCAATCGCAAGCTAGCAGGCTTCCTTGGGTGGCAGAGCAATGCTGCCGTGCTGTGCTCGGGAAGTGCAAATCTAGGGCAGGTGTATCAGTGTTAGTACACCTTTCAAAGCTCATGAAAGGTTCAATCCATGACACGCCAGGCCGCCCGCGTTTATGATTTGCCTTTTCAGGTCTCCATTTTCTGAGCGAAACCCACGCACACAATCTCGTCAATATGCCTCCTCTTTGCAACCGTCATCAAAAGGAGGCAATGGAAGCGATTACCCATCTTTTTTTGGAAGCTGCACAGGCTTAGCACGGCTTGCTCACCTTGCACGCAGGTATTCTTTTCACCCGTGTCGTCGACACATTGAGAAGCGACGTTGTGCAGCACATCATCTGCATTTGTGACTGCTTCCATGCTTCTACCTAAATTGGCCATGCAACCTATCAGTTAGGCCCTGAATGTCACTACTTATTTTGTTTTGTCCTTCTGTGCGGCTTTATCAGGGGCAGCATTTCCTACAGAGATACATGTTTCATTCAATCTCCTACACTCTCTAATATTGCCGCCTGACTTAACTTTTCGATTGTACAAATTCCTTCTGGGAATTGGCCTACACTGTAGGCTTGGCATGCGCCAATCAGATCACAGCTCAAAGCCTGGCAGGTTCGGGGCTTTCAATGGTGAAGATGTTCTGATATGAGCTGTCCGTGTTTTTTGTTTGTTAACAGAATTGAATGCATGAATCACCTCACACACTTCAGCCGTATTTTGTTGTGTTTTTGTCTGATCGGTTGCAACATTGGACGTAGGCACTGGGAAATTGCAAGTGTGAGTTCATGCAGATACTGCTGCAGAATTAAGTCCTAATGTCATTTCGGATCCGCATCACTGCATCTACTGCATAGTTTTCCGCATGGGTTTTGTGCACAATACAGCCGCCATCTGTGTAGAGGTTACAATGTTTCTCAGGGATGTCAAGTCTTTCCAGTAAGGTATTCTCTTTGCCCGATGATTATGGGTAATCTGGTGTTCTAAATCACAAATTTGCAAAGCTGGATGAATTGCGGACGCACCATGTACCATCAATACCCGCATCGTTGTTTGATGTTGTCACTGGCAGTGGAGTATTTTCACAGGACGGGAGATGGTGCTCCAGTGTATCGGTTTGTCCACATCGCTTGCATACGTGTCGCTTTCCGATAGATACTTACTTTTTACAGTTTCGGATTGAATGCCCGTGGCAAGGATGAGGGATTCCGATTTCTCGTACTTTTGCTGCATTGCAATATTGGGCCCGGGCAATCTCTATACTGCTTCTTCGCATTCGGTTCGCTTGTATGATGTGGCTGTGGCTCAATGTACTAAAATGGCGCCTTAGCAAATGCAAAGACTAAAGTTAAGACCTGATCTCGCCCACACAGGCTGCAAATCCAGGAATTTGCACAAAAACAACTCAAAAATCAATCAATCCGAAAAACTCAATCTGAAATAGTCTGAATCTGGGAAGACTCAAAAGAAACTAAAAAAGACTGAAAAAAGCTCAAAAACAACTCAAGCAACAACTCAAGCAGGGATCTGGGGAGGGTTTTGGGGGTGGGGGAGGGGCAAAATGCAAAAACAACCGCAGAAAACACAAAAACAACTCAAAAACAACTCAAACACAACTCAAGCAACAACTCAAGCAACAGCTCAAGCAAGGGTCTGGGGAGGGTTCTGGGGGTGGGGGAGGGGCAAAATGCAAAAACAACCGCAGAAAACACAAAAACAAGTCAAACAAAACTAAAAAAAACAACTCAAAAACAAACTCAAAACAGACTGAAAAAAAACTCAAATCTCCTGCTGTGTTTTTGTTGTATTTTGTTTGAGTATCCTGCTGTGTTTTTCTTGTTATTTTTGAGTATCCTGCTGCTTGTTTGTTTTTGAGTCTGTGTTTTCAGTTGAGTTTTTTGGCTGAGGTTTTTTCTGAGTTTTGTTTTAGTTTTTGTTTGTTCCGCTAAAACCTCTCCTGTCTGAGCCCGTAAGACTAAAGCCTGCGTAACCCTAAGTCGAAATTATGAGCCACACCTACGGTATCCCACGGCTTTTTGTAAGAGGGGTCTTAGATCACGAGAGCTGCAGCTTCTGAGAACAAGAGCTGGCATTAAACATCTTAAGTGCAGCCTTCTGCCAAAAAACGTGCCGTCACAAAGACCATATGGTTTTTGTGTGTCTGGAAAAGGGAAATATACGGCGCCCTGTTTAAGCAATAGAGTAGTCCTTGGAAGTAGGCATCCCTTACTCCCACGAACATAGCAGCTTTGGGAGACTAGTGGAAGGGGCTGAAGAATTACTATAGTTGCACTAGGCTCTATGGCACCCCAACCCCCATTCTACTTACACTCCCACCAATCAACATGGAACCTGACGAATGGGGGTCCCTTTAAATGGACGTTTGTCTTCCATGACGCCTGTCTGGTTCCATGGTAATTGGTGGGAAGATATTCAGCTCAATGTCCTCAAGGCACCGGCCAAAACCTATCCTGCGAGGCGACAGCGTGGTGCTATCCACTTGCACCAACTCCCCTGACGTGGAAGAGTTGGCCACCGCGATGGGCTCGCCCTCCTGGTGGGCGTAGGCTGCGAGCTAAGAGCAAGGTCCAGTTCGCACCAGTTGGGGGTGTGGCTCTTAATTGTAAACACACGGACTAAAACGAGATTGAGGCATGCTTGTAGGAGAATCACGTGTGCGTGTATTAATGTTGCCCGTGACATTAAGCGGTTTGTCCCAAGGTTCATAGGATGTCATTCAGCCCAGCCGGTGCGAAACGGATGTTCTCCATCCGCAGCACGTGTATTGAAATTTAGAAGCCGCGGCGCGTGAGCCCCTGTCCAAATCTACCGTCTTTGAGGCTGAGCCCCTGTCCTCTATGGCTGGTTTTTTCTTCCTTGTTTGGAGGCCAAGGCTTATGAAGGGGTGAAACAGGAGTTTCCCTGGAATGGGGAAGGGTCTACGTTTTGAACGTCGCTTTTGTGCTGGAACAAGTATTTAGTGTAGACGAACAGTCTCAAAGTGATGGGCGAAGCTTATTGGACAGGCGAATCCGAACCGCGAAGCTTATTGGAAGATGGCGTACGCTGAGAGCGTAACTCACTGACTCCTCCAATTGATACTTTCTTGATTCAGAGCCACACTATGGACGAAATCCCATGAAAGGCACCAGGTGGGTGATTTATCCCAGTATCCAAATCGAGTTCCAGGATCACGTAGCCCATGGCCCCCTTAAAGCCTGAGGCTTTGAATTGGAAACTTCAAGGGGAAGACCAAGCCCAGACCTCCCGATCTGGAGGAGGCAGCTTACCTATTAGCCGCAAAAGCGCTGATCAGAACCCTCGGAGCGCCATGAACGCGCCATGCGCAGCCCGCGGGATTTGTACTCCTGCCCAGCAAGTTACATGTGAGCGCAACTGGGGTATCCTCCAAAGCTTTGTATTTAGGGAAGACGAAATATGAACAAAAATGGTCATAGAAGGTATATGTCATATGTGTTTTGGACAACTACTCCAATGCTCCGATTAGGTTCGGTCAAAATATCCAGTGGTCCCTTCAGGTGGACAGCAGAGGACTCACTCAAAAGCCACAAATAGCAGGGACTTGCTAAATTTCCCACCATGCTTCAACATGTCTACTTTGCTAGACATTACCCTTTGTTTGCCACTTGTTAAGGGAGTTTCCTTGTGGGGTGATGTTTAGGAAGTATAGGGCACCCTGTGTTGCCCGTGACGCGAGCCTTAGACACTTTGCACACCTTAGTCACCAATGAGCGAACGAACGAATCCGGGTCTCTGAGCACTGAGGAGGCGACCGAGGCGACCTTTAGGGAGTTTGGTGGTGGCCAAAAAACAATAGCACGGCAACAACTGACCCCCCATTTTGTTCTAATCCCTTCGAGTGGTACGTAGCAACCCTCAGAAATCGTTTGGCAGGTCTTCTTTGGGTCACGCATTCACACAATCCCTTGGCTGCAGTGCCCCTTCATGAAGCAGGTTTCAAAGGTGTATCATTCCCATTTGACATCTTTGGGCCAACAGCCAAGATGTCAACTTTTGGGCAGTACTAAACTAAAGGAAATCAAAGTCGAGCTTAAACTTCGCATGAAGGGAAATGAGCCCGAAAGTGAGCAAGCAAATCCATTGAAATTCGCGAAAATGCAACCAGCAACCAACTGGCCCAATCAGAACATCCACAATGGATTGAGCGACATCTATGGAAGGCGCCACACCTGGACCTGGTTTCTCTTTGGTTTTTGTTGTAGCCTGTAGAATAACCCCAAACGGGTGGATGCTTGAAGCAAAGACAAGCCCAACTAAGAGACCAAATGGCCTTGGCGTGACGAACAGACGGACGCCTTTCAGTTGGGCCGGCGAAACTCAAGCAGGAAGTACACGGAGAAGCCAGATGGGTCGATTAAAGTTGACTGAAGACCAAAAGAACAAGACTTGAGCAGCAACTCCCCGAGTTCCTGGAGCTTTGGTCACGTTTTGGTTCGGACCATTGTAGTCGTAAACAAACAGGTTGGGAGCTTTTTGTTGGCCAATCCACGCAGGAAGCGAGACGGCGGGGTTTGTGAAAGCCAATCCACTGTTAAAGACTAAGGGGCGTGAAGGGCCTGTCTGTTGCTCCTCTAGGCATATACATTAGCAACCATAAGTGTCGACTTCCCCAAAGGAAGCCGCACACAAATATCTCACAAATTCCAATGGTCCCAAAAGCCCAACTGGGAGGGGGGAATCTCTCTGTTGTTTGCGCACTTCCAATTCAACACCCAGCTGCTGGTTTCCTCGAGTCGTTTCACAGCTAGTGGCCTTTGCCACTGGATCTGTCGGAACGAAAGGGACTCTGAAATCTGAGTTCCTGCGAGATGGACACCAAGGAGCCATGGAGAAGCCTTGGGCATTGGTCGAGTTTGAAGACTCCAACTGGTCTCTTTTGCGTCATGTTAGTGGCAAATAAATACCAAACTGTTTTTCTGTTGGCGAATCCGTGCTCAAGTGAGTCAAGCAGGAGGTTGGCCCAATGGTTATAACCCAACGCGGCAATGCCAACTTGGCAAACACGGGCCGTCACGGGTGCTAACAAGGAGCGCCAAAAAAAGCGGAGCGGCAGCCAGCTCCAGGGCAGAACTAGAAGTTGTCCAGTGCCTCTTTGGTGTATGTGTTTTTTGGGTTTTTTCTGGTCACCTAGGGCGAAATGAGTCCGCAGGGTGCCAGACCTTCGTCATGTTCCGAGCTGCCCGGTGGCGCCCTTTTTTCGTTTTTGTTTTTGTGGGGAAGGGTTCCCCGTTTAAACTCAACCCATCAAAAAGGATGCCGTTTTTCCCCATGGCCACTTGGCAGTTGTGTGTTTCATGTTGTTTTTTCCCCTGGGGCGCCTCTTCTTCCACAAAATCTACTGGACATCGGGAGAGGTCTGAGAGGCGTACGTCTTGACCCCAAAGGACGTCGCAGGACCTTTTGGAAGCAAATGGGAGTGTCGTTGTGTTTTTGAGGGCACCCTTTTTGGGGTGGCTTTAAATTGAAACCAAAGGGAAAACCACATTTTCGATGTCCTCTATTTGTACCGAAATGGGGTTTCCATGAAACCAACCAAATGTCGATCACAACCATTTGCTCGCTTGGCGGGCGGAGGGAGCAACCCAATTGGTCTTTCTATGACCTTACTGCAAGTACAGTTGGGCAAACAAGTAGATGGCACGATTCCATGATTTTGGTGTCATGCCCTCTGACCCACATACAGGGAATGATGCCTTCTACTTTCACCCTGGTGCCACAAAACAGACTTCATGGACTTTGGGGAGGGGGGGGGGCTTGGATGTCCATCTAGTTGCAACCTTTGGAAAAGAAGCTACGGGTCCCAGCCGCATGACGCGCGGCTCAAAACCCTGGGGTATCAGATTGAACCACAGGTAGGTGTGTTTGGGCGTATAAAGAGGAAATGGGTGCGTCCCTTTTTTATGGGTGCCCCTGTTGGGTGCCCCTGTGGGGGTCGTTTCAAAGATAACAATCACGGATTTGGGGTATTGTTTAAAGGGAAACCTGTTCAGGGCCTAAGAGTCAAACCTCTTCCCTCCAAATATGTTTTGCAAGGTCTGGGTTGAGAATTCATACTTTTTGACAGTTCAAAGCCATCCCCGGAGGTTTTCAGGTTTGCAGTTGGTTTAGTGTTGGGTTTCCATTTGCCCCACCAAAGTTTATCAGATTTTGGCGGGGAGTCCGAGGACAAGAACCCTGCAAAAGTTTGTGCCTTCCCGGCCGATCGACTAGGCACCCTTCGCGAACAACGCCTATCGGGCGGGGATGATCCGAGTGTCGGGTTTCGGGTGTCGAGGCCCGAAAAGGCGAATCCATCCGCCTTCGGAATGGCTCCTCCCGGGGTCACTCCTCCCAGGTCTTTTCCCAATGGCTCGCCAAAAACAGGGTTTACATTCACCTTTGCCAGCGGATTTAGAGGGCTTGCTTTACACCAAGTGGTTTCCGGATGTATTCTTCTTTAGGAACCTTGCGTCTGCCTTCTCCTGCACTTTTCAGATGGACATGACCCTAGACATTTTTAGTGGAAACTCAATTTGCAAGTTGTCTCTTTGTTGGGGGTTTTATCAATTTGCAGGGGAGTACTGCCATTCCGTGTGATTTTGGATGGTATTTGCTGCAGCTAGCGACTTCTTGGAAGATCAGTTCGTGCCCTGTGTTTTTTGTTTTTTTGGGTTTGGCAACGAGTTTGGGCCAGTTTCTGTTTGGCATCAAACATAAACTCAACAAACACACACACACACACAGACACACAGACACACAGACACACAGACACACAGACACACACAGACACACACAGACACACACAGACACACACAGACACACACAGACACACACAGACACACACAGACACACACAGACACACACAGACACACACAGACACACACAGACACACACAGACACACACAGACACACACAGACACACACAGACACACACAGACACACACAGACACACACAGACACACACAGACACACACAGACACACACAGACACACACAGACACACACAGACACACACAGACACACACAGACACACACAGACACACACAGACACACACAGACACACACAGACACACACAGACACACACAGACACACAGACACACAGACACACAGACACACAGACACACAGACACACAGACACGCAGACACGCAGACACCCAGACACACAGACACCACAGACACACAGACACACAGACACACAGACACACAGACACACAGACACACAGACACACAGACACACAGACACACAGACACACAGAAACGCAGAAACACAGAAACGCAGAAACGCAGAAACGCAGAAACGCAGAAACGCAGAAACACAGAAACACAGAAACACAGAAACACAGAAACACAGAACCACAGAAACACAGAAACACAGAAACACAGAAACACAGAAACACAGAAACACAGAAACACAGAAACACAGAAACACAGAAACACAGAAACACAGAAACACAGAAACACAGAAACACAGAAACACAGACACACAGACACACAGACACACAGACACACAGACACACAGACACACAGACACACAGAAACACAGACACACAGACACACAGACACACAGACACACAGACACACAGACACACAGACACACAGAAACACAGAAACACAGAATCACAGAATCACAGAAACACAGACACACACACACAGACACACACACACACACACACACACGCAAACACACAAACAAGCAAACAAACAAACACACAAACAAACAACCAAACAAGGTAACGGCGCCCGCAACGGACCCGCGCAATCTGATGGTTGCGCTGCTGGGCGTTTTTCAAAAACCGCGCGTTTTGCAGGGTCTTGTTCGAGGTCACCATAAACAGTGCTTTCCTACCAATTCCAAGTCCGTTTCATGTTGTGTACAGTGTGATTCAGGCAAACAGTCTCGTATGCAGAATTCGCCCTCCTTTTATTCACTTCCTTCACAGCGGCATGCTGCTAAAGCTTCTTATGCCATTCTGGCTCGTGACAGCAACGTGCTGAGCGGATGCCCTTGAGCGGGTGTGCTTGTCATTTGGCAGGCATGTGCGCAGTGCTGAGCGAGCGGGTGTTCTTATCATTTGGCAGGCATGTGTGCAGTGCTGAGAGGGTGCTCTTGAGCGGGTGTGCTTATCATTTGGCAGGCACGTGTGCAGTGCTGAGCGGGTGCCTTTGAGCGGGTGTGCTTATCATTTGGCAGGCACGTGTGCAGTGCTGAGCGGGTGCTTTTGAGCAGGTGTGCTTCACATTTGGCAGGCGTGTGTGCAGTGCTGAGGGGGTTGCCCTTGAGCGGGTGTGCTTATCATTTGGCAGGCATGTGTGCAGTGCTGAGCGGGTTCCCTGGAGTGGGTGTGCTCATCATTTGGCAGGCATGTGTGCAGTGCTGAGCGGGAGCTCTTGAGCGGTGTGCTCATCATTTGGCAGGCACGTGTGCAGTGCTGAGCGGGTGCCCTTGAGCGGATGTGCTTGTCATTTGGCAGGCATGTGCGCAGTGCTGAGCAGGTGCCCTTGAGCGGGTGTGCCTATCATTTGGCAGGCATGTGTGCAGTGCTGAGAGGGTGCTCTTGAGCGGGTGTGCTTATCATTTGGCAGGCACGTGTGCAGTGCTGAGCGGGTGCCTTTGAGCGGGTGTGCTTTTCATTTGGCAGGCATGTGTGCAGTGCTGAGCGGGTGCTCTTGAGCGGGTGTGCTTCTCATTTGGCAGGCGTGTGTGCAGTGCTGAGGGGGTTGCCCTTGAGCGGGTGTGCTTATCTTTTGGCAGGCATGTGCGCAGTGCTGAGCGAGCGGGTGTTCTTATCATTTGGCAGGCATGTGTGCAGTGCTGAGCGGGAGCTCTTGAGCGGGGTGCTTATCATTTGGCAGGCGTGCGTGCAGTGCTGAGCGGGTGCCCTTGAGCGGGTGTGCATATCTTTTGGCAGGCATGTGTGCGGTGCTGAGCGTCTTGAGCGGGTGTGCTTATCATTTGGCAGGCATGTGTGCAGTGCTGAGCGGGCGCCTTGAGAGGGCGGGCTTATCATTTGGCTGAGCGGGTGCTCTTGAGCGGGTGCCCACCATGTGAAAGTCAGAAAAACATCAAAAACCACGAGTCCGGCGCTGGCGCCGTTAGCACAAACAAACAACCAACCAAACAAACAAACAAAGAAACAAACAAACAAACACATACGAAGCAAAAGAAACACGCCAACACAACAAAACCACAGAAACCCACATATTAAATAAATGAACAAATATATATATATATATATATAAAAACCTCGTGAGAGATAAGGCTGTTGAACAGGGGGTTCTTTTTTCAAGAAAACATGCACTTCTACAATCTTCCACACATTTTTATTTATTAGGTGACAAGAAGGAAGCCGCTTCCGCACAGCGGACGAGGAGGAACCGCATTTAGGAAGTATTTTTCTTTCCTGCCAGCCCCACTTGTATGCCAAAAGAGGAGGTGCCCTAGGAGCGGGCAAGCACAGTTTGAGTAGAATGCTCAACGGGGAACAAGCAGACTCATGCCAACTTCGGATTTATCCCTTCAGGTCTGTTGCTGTATGAATCAGGGGTGCTTCCCTTGCTGCAAAGACATGATCGAGTTTGGAGGGTTCCTTTGGTTAGTAGGGTTCCGCGGGTTAATCCGGATGAACATGGCTTTTATGCGTGTTTCTCATAACCTTTGGTTTCCTCTTGGTTTCCAATCAGCTATCAACCAACAGGGGGTCCACCATTGTGAGAAACCCCCTTGTAATAGTCCCCCGATGCACAAGTCATGTCGGCGAAGGAAACCATCAGGGTGTGTGTGTGTGTTATTTGTGTCAGCTGTGTTTGTTATTTGCGTGTGCCTGTTTGTGCTTTTATGTTTGCGATTGTGTTTGTGTTTGTTGTATTTGTTTCTGTGTCTGTGTCTGTGTCTGTGTCTATGACAGTTTGTTTTTTCAGGGTACCCTGGTGAGAAGGAACTGCATACACCAGTTGTTGTTGTTTTTGTTCGGAGTATGCTTTGCAAGGCCAGGTATTCCATGGCAGATACCTCTCCGTTTGGCCATGGGTCGAGATACCCAGCAAGAACGGCACACACCTCCCTGGACTCGCCTCCCAAATTATGACCTATTTTTGGAGGAAAACTCAATCTGGCACAAAACGGACAGATGAGTGTGTGTCCTTTTTCTGGGGCCCCCCATTTTTGGCGAACCCTTTTGGGGAACCTCCTTTTTGAGAGCCCCATTCTGGGGCGTTCCCAATTTTGCGACAAACCGGATAAGTGATAACCAACGGGTTTCATCCTTTTTTGAGTTAGGACGATTTTCCCGGACGCGCTTGCACCTGAGCACAGGTTCACCCTTTTGGGGCCAGGACTATGGACCCAAACAGGAAACGCACAGCTCAAAGCGTCGATTCGCTGGGGGCAACTGAACCCGTTTTTCCTCCCCTCCCCCCCCCCCCCGCAGCGCGTTTTGATTTTGCTCGGGGCTGTGGGAAATCACCCCTGTGATACAGCAAATCGGGGTTCCTCACGGCGCAGCACGTTTTGTTTTTTGCTCAGTGCTGTAGAAAGTGGAATCCGCTTCTCTAATACAGAGGGGTTCCAAAGACTAACCCCGCAAGGGGGAGATTCCCAAAAGTATCGCAGTGGTTCAGGTAACCCCTTAGTTGGTGGTTTTGGCTTGGTTTGGATTTGGATTTGAAATCCCGGTTCTTGATGGCAAATGGGAACCACCCGCTAGCCACAAAACCACCACAGTGATAGATTCCATTTTGGCCAACAGAAATTGAAAACACAACGACCGATTAGAGGGAGGCTGAAACAGACAACCCTGGTTTCGCCGGTCCATGTCCAGTTTGCTCCTTTGATTGAGCTTGTTTTGATGTCTTCCTTTTACTGATCTCTTTTCAGCGCGAGGCCACAAAAACGCCTGGCATGCGGCCAATTCGGCTGGGGTTGCTGGAGACTCGCCCTGCGGCTCGACTTTGATCGCTAGGCCATCAAAGACGCGGAGCGCGCCTTCGGCACCGGGGGCTACGAAGCGGAAGGCTGGGAGGAGGACGCGCGGGTCTCCCGCGTGGTTTCCGCGTGCGCCTGGATGCCCGTCATGGTGAACATCCCAATCCCCACTAAAAAGACAGGGAGCTTCCCCGAATCATGGTTGTTGTTGGGAAACATTTTACAAGTTTGCTTCTTGTGGTTTAGTGGGGAATGCCCACGTCACTGCTGATTTTTTGTTGCTCCCCTTCCAACGTCAACCAAGTTTTGTTCCCCAATGACTTCTTTTTTGGGTAAAGTGTCTGGAGACAAGCTGCACCTTGGATATTTAGGGTGTTTTGATTCATTTGTTTTTTTTTGCTGGTTTGTTCGTTTGTTGATTGCTTTGTGTCCTTCTTTAGTTTGTCGGTTGGTGTTTCGTTGGCTTGTTTCTTGTTGTTGTTTTTGGTCATTTGCCCAAAGCGGATGGACCTTTTCACCTTTTGGTTTTCCTACTTTGGTCCATAGTCCTGGCCCCAAAGGATCACCTTCCATGTCCTTAGCCAGCTGAAAGCTATGGATTTGGTCGATAGGCCCCGATAGGCCATGGATTGGGTTTGGAGCGGGCGAGCTAGGAACCCAGGAGGGTTCCAGACGTTTTTCAAAGTCGTTTTGGTGTTCCGCACTCCAAGTGGGACTCCTAGTGGCCCTTTGGCTCGTGGACTATTGCTCACTCTGGGGCATGTTTTCGGAAGCTGACAGAGGGTCCCTACATATTCTGAGGAGCCCACTTGACCTAAGGAATCCCCAGAGTCATTCCCTCATTCCCTCCTCACCTTGCTCGCTTGAAACCTGACGTTCAGACCTGGTCCCTTTCAAAGAAAAATGGTACACACCAGGAACCCCCAAACGTCGGGTTCCATGTTAATTGGTGGGGGGGTATGTCTTGTTGTTAGGGAACCCGTTTTGGTTGGTTTTGGTTGCTGAAAACACCCAGGCGTGGGGAGGGTCCCGTTTCAGCCTCTGGAACCTGTGGAGTTTCAAGGCATCTCCACAGCCTTCAGGGTGTTTCAGGGCGCAACAGCTGTTGGAAACTCACTGCCATGGCGATGAATTTCACGATGGCTCGCAGCCATCCGGTTCCTTAGCGTTTTGGGCCTGTTAGTGTTTAGTGGTAGTTTCAAACCTCACCTTGGCCAGTTCAAAGTGAGAGCTGAGAGCTTGGGGTGAGCTCACGGAGCAGGAAGGGGGTGCTTGGTCTCTCAGTGGCCATGATAGCAAGCTGGTGAGATTTGCGCCGATGGCCAGCTCACCAATCAGGGGTACAACGCTTCTCGCCAATTAAGGTTCCTTAGGTTTTGGAGGTATGGAGGTTCTTTCACTTACACTGAGGGGATACCTGTGGAGCTATACCTGAGTCGACTTCGAGAGATAGACTGCCGAGATGCGAGAAACATTGGTATCGACTTTTGTTCTTTTTTCAGATGTTAAATATGATGCTGTCCGATGTTTGAAAGAGGAAGCCAAAAGGGGATTTGTTTCCTTCTCGACGCCCAGTTTAACACCTTAACACCTGGGCGTAAACAGAACCCAACATGGGAAAGCAGCCAATTGACCGTGTCTGTGGTCAATGTGGGGCACCCCTAGAGCCGAGGTGCATTCGTGAGCACCTGAGCAACCAACCGACGAGCCGACTCGACTTTCCCATTTCACGTCACGTGATTGCGCAAGCATTGGCTAAGCCACGTGGTGGATGTCGGGCCTTCTAATGAGACCCTAAAAGCAGGTCCGGTGTGAGCATGTCTCAAATCAGGGGGGGGTACCCCCCACAATATGTTTTTGTCTATGTGTGGAGGTGTACCTTCTGGTTTCCAATTCAGACCAGGTTGAAAAGTGTCTCTCCAAAACGAAGACGCGTGTAAACCCTAGGTCTTCCGACAATAAGATCCAGAGGGGTTGGGCTGGAGGAGAACATCAAGGTGAAGGGAGAGTTCGACGATTCCGAGGAGGACGAGCCTGCGGACCAAGTGATGACTTCCGAGGAACGATCGTTTTTTGGGTGATTTTGGAGAAAAAAGCATCGGTCCCGGCGCGGTTGAAAGCCTTCTGCGCTGTCAAATGCGTTTCCGGACAGAACTTTTTGCTGCAAACGCGTTTCTTGCATGGTGTTTGAAGGGGTAAATGGGAAACCGCCCCAGAATCAACCACCTAACGACCAATCCAGAGCGTAGATCGGGTTGGCTGATCGCAGTACTACCCTGGCGTTGCTCTGGAGTCATCGGGTGGCGCTGTGTGCTATCTGCCCGAATACAAGCTGTTGCCCCGACCAACCCGGGCACTTTGCAAGTTGGCGATTGTCTGATATTTGGGGCTGCGCTTTTTTTAGGGTTCCCCGCCCCCCCCGCCCCACCCCAAACAAAAAGAAGAAGAGTAAAGTAAGTATTTTAACGGGAACCCCAGAGAACAAAAAACATTGTAGGGAGTCGCCCAAAATAACACACCCATATGTGACAACGTTTGGCGCACGCTTGATAGATGACGCAAGCTTCGAGCCATGTGGGCAGCGTGGAGTGGGTTCTGGCAGCCGATATACTCCCTTGGCCTGAAGATGGCTATTATCAATACTTTGTGGACTTCCTCCACAGTTCTGTGCCTGAGCAGAGTATTTGCCGACGAGGTCCAGCTGCCCAGGAATATGCAGAACTTGTCATTCATCGATCTCGAGTACGATCTCCGCTTTGCTACGCTACAAACACGAGCTGCTTTGCCCCGTGTGGTTGCTGTGGTCACGCCCAGGGACGGGCCACACTAATTCGCACACACGAGAGTTGCTGGACTGCAAACTTTTCGTAAGACCAATTGAGTGTGGCGAGCAAACAATTTGGACTTTTTTGGGTCACTTAGGAAGTGAGTTAAGTTTGTGGTCTGGATGGACACTTCTTCAGCCCCGGCAGCTCTTTGAGGGAGACTTGAGCAGACGACTTGACATTTCTTGGCTGGTCGGCTGGTGCCCGTTTAGAGCGCCAAAGAAACACAATGAGCTTCTCCACGGACAATTCGTTCATTGGGTGGCTTGGAACCCTTGTTTGACGTGCGCAGCACTTTGCTTCGCCTTTTCAGCCCCGGACCAGCGCGACCTCCAACCGCCAGTTGCTACATGAGCCGCCGTCTTCTGTTTTGGCCTTAGATTTTGGTGAATACCCCCGCGCCATTTCCGAAAGGTAATTTGGTGATTGTGACCCATGGCAGCCGTCAATGACAGTAGGTGCCCGTTAAACATACAAAATGCGAGAACACGCCCAGGACATGAATCCCTAAACTAGATGATGTCCACCGAAGGATTCCCAAGAATACATGTCAAATATTGTTGTTGCCTTGGTGATAAGGTTCACATGTTAATTCATACCGATCTGCTAGGCTGTGGTTATCAGCAACTTTAGAAATGACTACTGGGGCAACAGGTTGGTTGCAACCTTCTAACCGGATTTCCCAGTGGATCCGAGTTATTCACACGGTAGGAAACCAACTATTTTAAATCCTAAAGGGTGGTTCCCCTGGGTACCACTGGATATATACAGGTAAATGGATCCACTGAAGTCATGATGCGCTGGTCCAAGTTGCCGCCAGCGCCGCCTTCGAATTGCGAGGTCCGGGTCTTCCGCTGCGGAGGAGCCAACCAAGGCGCGTTTGAGGCTCCCCACAAGTGGCCGCGCTTGCCCTGAAGTTTCCCTTTGAACCGAATCCAAAATCTTGTGACTTATCAAAAGGAGTATTGTCTCAAGAAAAGACACACTCTAGTTGCACTCTTCTTCCCCCTTCATGTTGGGTCCCCGGCTTCGGATAAGGACGTGTTTAGACCACTTTGCTCGGGGTATGTGCAGGCTTACACGCCTATTTATACAAATATATACAAGTAGTGAATAGGCATACCTTGAAAACTCATACCTGAAAGTGCCCTTGATATTGGGCATCTGGAGGGCCCCAAATCTATCGATGGCCTGGCGATTTTTTGTTGAGCTAAGGAACCATGAATGCTCCAGGAAGTTCGCCCGAACTCCCGGTGTTTGTGGATATGTGGCGAGTTTCCTTGGATGTTTGTTGCCAAGTTGGTAAGTGGCTAGCCTGCGCTGAAACTAACCCCCTAGCAAGGTAAACCCCACAGACCCTTGCAGGGCCCAAAGGTGGGCCGAACGGTTGCCGTTGCAACCTACCTGGGCAAGGGAACACCCAAGCCTATGAGCCAAACCGATCTCCGATCTCTCGCTAGGTCGTGGTCGCCCCGAAGCGGCGCAGGAAGGAGGCGACTGGGGTGCATTTGATTGCTCTCTGGGTTCCCCTACTAAAATAGACTACAGAAAAAAGTTGGTACCCTGATTCGAACCTCTCTACTGGAGGATCTAGACAAAGTTGTTGTTGGCCCCAGATTTCTCCCTTGGTGTGTTTTTGGTTGGGGTTTGGTGGTTTGGTGCCTGGGTTCAACTTTTAACACACTAAGAGTTGTGACTCTTAGCAGGGGATCTAGGACAGCCCAACCAAAAGGAGACAGACCCCGCAATGCGGGCTTTACATTTGACTCAAACCCAAGGGTGGCTCATTTCTCCCCCAGGATAATTTCTGGGGAACCAACTCCGCAACGCATGGTGTAAGGGCCAAAGTCTACTCCAATGCGTGGCCACTGTCCTGTTCATACTGGCAAGCGATATATGTTGATATATGTGCAAAACAAGCGGCCAATCCTTTTTGCCCTAGGCCTGGGTTTCCAGCCAACTTCACCCGCAAGCCGCTGCGGCCATCGCAGTAAGCAGCTGAAACCGTTATACAAGAAGCAGTACAGACATCGAAGACTCGATTGCCTGGTTCAGTTGCGAAGCTTCAAGCAATGAAACGTGGAAAAGATGAACCTTTAATTTCCATGAGCCTGTTTCAAAACAGGGAGCCCCCTGTAAAGCATGAGGTGGTTTACAGGAACCCAAACAGAAACCGCCCAGTTTTGGGGGGGATCACCTTTTGTTGGACTCTCCCTGCTCGTGCCCGACGAAGCACGTAAAAGAGCAAGTGCTGCCCAGGTGTCACCAAACATCATCCGAGGCGCTTCGTGGGGGTTGTCGCCGTGAGGCCAAGCTTTGGATGAGATGTGCCCTATAAACCGGAAGGAACCCCAAAAGGGGGGGGTCCTCCAAAAGGCGATTCATCCACACGTCGTGGCTTTCAGATTTCCATGTTAAACTGTAAAGAACACCTCAGGGTTCAATGTGTGGATGAGGAATCAGACAAATCCCTTGCCAAACCTCAACCGCAGATTTATGGGCCAGGAACCTTTGGGCAAGTTTAGTTGGTGGATGCCAAAAATATTGCAAGTAAAGGATTGACCGTCGTGTTCCATGGTTTTGTGCTCAAGCGGGTCAGTTTACTTGCAATATTTAGGTACACCGTTCTTAGGGTGCCACTTAAGCCCAGGGCTTGCTGGTTAGGGGACCTTCTTTTTTGATATTGGCGTATAAAGGGACACCAAAGAACTAGCAGCAGCAGCAGCACAGCAGCTTCAATTCCTGTTCAACACCGCGACGCATTCAATGGCACCTGGGCAATATATCGACAAGAGGAAGTGCGCAAGTGATGAGCTGAGTGCCCCATAGCCGAATTGCACATTGTTTTCCCCAAAAGCAAACCAAAAGGAATTGGACGGATGTGATTTTCGATACGCTGTGTAAAGGTTAGCGAAGAGGTACCTTGGTGGCCTTCACCTGACCGCCACGGCCAAACCCTTTGAGGGAGCTCTTGCCTCGGGGGTTCAGTGTGCCGTTTGTCGTGTTTGTCAAGAAATTTTGTAAAATCAACTGCCAGCTAAAGAGTGCCCTTTTTTGCCATGGCCACTGGGTGTCTGGGCTTGACGTGATGCAAAGAGGTGCAGTGGTAAGGCTGGCGCTATGTTTGACACTTCTTGTAGGTCGGCCCAAGCTTCTTGCGTCAAGGGCCCCATCGATATTTACGACGGCTCGTATTAGATCAGGGCAAGTTCCAGTACCCACAAGGTTGGGCTGGATTTGTTTTGAATGAAAGGCCGGTTGCCACTCGCAAGTTGCAAGTCCGTGTACCAGGGTGGCGTGTTTTTACACCTGTTGCCAAAGCGGCCGTGCCCCACTTAAGCTCTCCCGCCTGGATTGGAAAGCTTCGGGGGACACGCTGACAACAGGAGTGTCGCAGCATGCTCAAAATTGGTTCCGGCGACTTACCATTTGTCTCCCCAGCCGTTGCCCTCCTCAGCGCGGACCAATGAGAGCAGTCTGGCGTAATCTGGCGCATCCGCTCTTCCCGTTCCAAGAGAAGTTGACCCAAAAGGAAGATCTGTTGACTACTTGGGCTCCTTACCTTACCACGGTGTGGCACGGGAAGCCCTTCGTGAAGACTTGGACTGTTTTTCTCTGACACATGCCTTACCATGTTATTGGTGGATAGGTATGTAAGGGTTTTCAAAGTTACGGGCCCTTATTTGTATGCCCTTTTTTGAAGGCGGCACATATCAGCAGCAGCCAGGTCTCAAACAAGGACTATATGTTTGCCACCCCCCTGCTTTCATTTGTG